AGTAAGACTTCACTTTGAGCTTTTATGCAATCACCTCTATACACACAAAACACAAAAATCAGGACAAAAAAAAAGTTCTGAAATAAAATTAAAATATGCTATTGTCGATGTTTGATCTTTAGTATATACGTTTTTTTGTGTGTTCCAAGATGGCAAAACCCCTTCCCAAAAGGAGTATTTCCGGTGCCAAGGGCGGGGGGACTTCTGGTAGTAAAGGTCAGGGGTTAGGGGGTGGAACTTCAGATTCAAACATGGCAAGGGGAAGGGGGAGGCACATGAAAAGGGGCAGGGCTACCCTTGTGTTGCTCAACAGCTTGCCAAAGCTTGTTAAGCAGCCCTCCAGCCGAAATTGCCCACCCCTGCTCTACAGGAACTTCTGGGTTTTAGTCTGGCAAAATCCACAGCTTCGATTATAGCCAACACCCAATTCCTCTGAGAAGTTGAAAGAAAATCCTGACTTAGCAACAGGAGGGGGAAAACACTCCATTCCTAGCCCCATCTGGCAACAAGCAGAGCCCAGAAGTATAAGAAATACCCATAGACGAGTCTAAAATGAGATTCTCTGAGGCATAGGTTGCCCTATAGTCATCTGCTGTGGACATTTTTGCATTGTCCTTGAGAGCAGATGTTGCTGTTGCTGCAGACAGGTTGAGGGTAGATGGACCAGGAATATGATCCATGGGTAGGATACTGTGCTGGGTGCAGCCATGCACCAATCCAGCCACACATACCCAAATTTGGCTGTGTGCTGATACAATCTAAAGCATGCAGAGCCACTTTATCTGACCCTCAGGACTCCCAGTGGGTCTAGAAATTTGACAGCAGCAGAATGGCAAAGCTGCAACTAGTTTCCCCACTCAATTTTTTGGACCACTGTGGCCAGATGGCATGGCTCTGCACAGTAGGGGGTGACCACCCCTGCTCTAGAGCAGCATTTCTCAACCTGTGGGTAGTGACCCAAAAGTGGGTCATAATATTTCAAAGCATTATGAACTTTAAAAATAGATCAACAAACTTTTAAAATGGATTATCCTTTGAAGGAGAAAAATGTGGGAAACCATGTATTTTCCCTTGCAGGTTGCCAGTTCCAGTTTGCAAGGGGCTGCTTGGAGCCCCCTCATGCCCACCCCCACCCCCCGTAGTTGGGGGGCTGGGAGGAAGCAGATCAGGAGTGAAGGGTACTGGGTCAGGACTAGCTATCAATGTTTACAAATGGGTCCTGGTCCAAAAAAGGTTGAGTACCACCGCTCTAGAGGGATCTACAGCACTTGTCATGCTAATTAGCTGAGCACAGAACTTTGTACATAGACTTTATCCCTATGGACATGCAGCTCTTAAAGTAGATCAAAAGTATAGCCAAGCCTGAACATTGCTCAGCAATCAAGCAGGCAGTGGTTGAGAGTCAGGGTGCCATGTAAGGTGGGCATTGGGAGGATGAATTACATGGTGTCTAAAAATACAAAGGAAGCAGCAGTGAGCTTTATGTTGGCAAAGTTGGCTAGCGTGACCATACATGAGCTGCTCAGATCAGACAGATGAATGGTAAGTTTGGAAAGGATAGTTAGGTTTTCACCTTAGTGAATAGATAAGCAGCATTTTGGCTTCAATGTCAAGACAAATATGAGCAGGTAAGGCAGTCAGCAGTTGCCAGTATGTGGAGGATGGGTTTAGGACTGGAGAAAGATACAGAAGCCAGAGATGTGAATGAACATAATACATTTTTGAAAAATGATGTATAGGAATGATCAATTGTAGTAAATACAGCACAAGAAGAACAGGCCCTTGCAATTAGGCAGAAGGAAACTCGTAAGAGCAGTCTGTGGCAGAATTTTTTTTATTGCAGTAGCACCTGAAGACCTCAAGTACAGTCAGGCCCCTTTTACTACCAGGTGCTGTACAAACATGCAACTGCCCCTGCCCAGTCAGCTAGCTCATATATGACACTGATCTAGAAAGGGGAGGGGAAGAGGCAAGACACAGCTTTACCCAATACCACACAGCAGATTATTGGGGAGCTGAGACTAGAACCCAGCGTGCCACAGGGCACTTCTAGAACTACGAGTCAGGCCAAAGTCTAGGCAATAAGAGAAGGCAGCATGCTTATGGATTAAAAGATATAGTAAAGTAAAAGGGTGGGTTTAGTGAAGCCATCCTCAAAGCTGGTGGCTAGTAAAGGAAGTTTACATTTACAAAGTAGACTTAAACACACTGGTTTGATGGTCTTTTAAGCATTATGAACTAAAACCTTGAAAGAACTTGCATCTGAAGCCAGATTTGCATGCACTGAAAATCCTTCTGTTCTACTAGGCACACACGGGTTTTATTACCTCTTTTGATGGTAAGCTTAGGCTATGATTTTTACAGACATTAACTACTACTGAGAAGGCAACACTCCATACCACCATTCAGTAAACCCAAGGAAAGCTTCTGAGATATGCCTGATATTCCTTCAAAAAACACAGAGGGACAAGTGTAATTAAAATGTAACAATGACCACAGCTAATGATCTACTGAAATGTGAGAGTACATTGCCGTATAATTAATTCTGGATACTTTTTTTTGGTAAAGGGGGAAGGGGTTAAAAGTAGAATAAATAAAATGTTCTACCACAAAAAAGACTTAGAAGAGAGCTACTGAACAGTTTTGTAATTATGTCCAACAGGTTTTGCCTATAACTAGAACATTTGCAGCCTTTCAGTAATTAGATTGTTATGTGCATGGTAAGATGTGAACTTTGAAACATACTTTTCAAATGCTCACCACTTGTATGTACACTACACCCCCTATACCACATCATTTATCTACCTCCTTCCCTCTAAGCACCCAGTCTGCTATTTCTCCAACTTAATACAGCCCCAGCAGAAGCAGATGGACCTCAGTAATGGAAGTCATGGTCAAGCTTCACATATTATGATAGTCTTTTTTTAAAAACTGATTTTTAGAAATGGCTTCCTCTATTGACAAATAGAGAATGACAAGGGTTAAAGTTTCTGCTTAAGTAAGGAGCTAACTGTAGGAGTACTACAGTGGCCTGTGTCAAAGCACAGGATTCCATACTAGCTCACATGTCATAAGAGCAGCAGGGTAGGGGTGGTTACACACCACTATGTTAAGTAGGCATGTGATGTGAATATTGACAGCATCCCTGGCAGATGGCGATAACATAAGCTATAGTGCTGTGCAACTGCAATACAGCAAATTTCGATTCAACAAATAGCAGTACAAATCCAGACAGTAACAGGTTATATTGTAATTCATACAAAAACTTAATCTTAACATTATAAATACTTGTGCATACTTAGTTAATAGGGCATTAAGCTAAAATACCAAAAGATCACCACTGACTTAATCTAAAGCTTGTGCGTTTGCACACAATTAAGATACAAGAAGTACAAGGCCTTAAGTAAAGACAAGCAGTCAAGATAACAGACTTCTGGACCAAAACAGGTAAGGCTGGAAAGGGATCAGCTTTAACTTGCACCCTGGAGCTGTATACAAATTGCAAAATCATTTTGATGGTGCTGATTTTATTTAATGTTTTTAAAAACACAACTATGGTCGAGTATTACAACAAAAACAATAGCAGGTAGTGACGCAAACTGCTTGTAGTCCTTCACTCGTCCACTAATGCATACAAAACAAGCATCACAATAGATATTCACTAGCCAGTTTAAGAGGTCTGGCACTGAACACCACCTCTGGGATGATGCTCATCATCTTCATAGGCTTCTCCATTATAATGGTGTCTTCTTTCTTGAGCTGGGTCAAAGTCCACCAGATCTACTTGCTCCATTTCTTCAGTCTCTTCCACCTCCTGCCTTGCAGGCAGCAGCTTTTCCAAAAGAGACAACTTATCAGAGGAAAGAAAACCACTATCTGGGAAGTTTACCTGGGGGAGAAGAGGAAAAGATGAAAAAGATCAGTAAGAGCTGCCATTACTCCATTTCACTGGGTGACAGACTCTCTCTACTATTACTAGGACGGGCTTGCTCCTACAGAACAAAAAAATCACCCTGTAATACAGAGGACTCCTACTCTCTTTACTGCTGGGATCCCTAATGATGAAGCAGGCATGTGAAGTGGTTTTACTTCTCATCTAACCACCAGATCTGCTCCACAGCTTAAACTACAGGCATTTTCAATTTTAAAAAAGTTTTTTTTTTTTTTTTTTTTTTTTTTTTAATTT